GGCGATGACGTTGACCCCGCCCGGGCGGCTGATTGACCGCCAATCCAGGGTCAGGAATTGGCAATGATAAGCCTGCCTGGGTACGCTGTGATGCTTCGAGCCGTGCACCTGTGTTCTTGCAACTTTGAAGCCCTGACAAGCCGCTCAATCGGTATCCAACGAAACGATACGAATCGAAGAACACGCACAGTCATGACGCAGACCCTCCACCCCGGCGCGCAATCGGGCTTCGCCGACGCCTCGAGCTACGAGGCCCACCGGCCCTCCTACCCTACGGCGACGGTGACGGCGTTCCTCGAAAAGCTGGGCCTCGCGGGCCAGCGGGGCGCGCGCGTGCTCGACCTCGCCGCCGGCACGGGCAAGCTGACCGAGGTGCTCGCGGCGCGGGACGAGGGGTTCGAGATTGTGGGCGTCGAGCCGCACGCGGGGATGCGCGGCGAACTGGCGCGCAAGGGACTGGCCGGCGTCGAGGTCCGGGACGGGTTCGCCGAGGGGATCCCGCTCGGGGACGGGTGGGGGGACGGGTGCGTCGTCGCGCAGGCTTTCCACTGGTTCGCGAACGAGAAGGCGTTACGGGAGATTCACCGGGTGCTGAAGCCGCGGTCGTCGCTGGGGTTGATCTGGAACATTGAGGATTGTGAGTTCTGCTGCTGGCGAGAGCCGGAGGAGAGAGGAGGGCGCGGCCACGAATAAAGATTGCTGACGATGAGGGGCACCAGATAACAAGCCTGCGGCGTGGACGGCGTCGACGCAGTGGGAGCAGCGCCTCAACGAGCTCATCCACTCGCTCGACGGCGACGGACAGGCGCGGTTCCGGAACGATGCGTGGCGGGCGTGCTTTGACTCGCAGGCGGCGAACCCGCTCAAGACGGTGGCCGAGTATGGGTTGCCGGGGCTCGCGACGGCCGACGACGGCAAGGCGCCCTGGTTCTCGGTGCCGATCGGCGAGGACAGCGTGCCTTTCACGGTGTGGCTGACGGAGGAGGCGCTGTGGAAGAGGCTGTCGACGCTGAGCCAGGTGGCCGTACTCGACGGGGACGAGCTATCGCGATTTCGGGCGCGGCTGGCGGGGATGCTCAGGGAGGAGAGCGTCGAGAGGAATGACAAGGGCGAGGTGGCGCTGCATGGAAAGACATTTTTTGCATGGACTTCGCGGCTCTAGGTTAGACAGAACAGGAGAGAGAAGAGAGAGAGAAGAGAGAGAAGAGGGAGAAGAAGAAGCACACGGAAGACGGCATTCCGGACGTGAGGACTCGAACAATCGTGGGTATATTCATTGAACTCTTCTTGTGTAGGCCTGCACACCGGACTGCTGGTGACGTAGCGGTCATGGCAGACACAGACACAGGAAGAAGCCTGACTGGAGATCATAAAACCATCATAACCATGGATGAAAAAAAAAACAGCCCGTCTAGTCTGCGGAAATGTACATAACTGAGAGGGTAGACACACACAGACACACGTCAGTAGGAGCAGCACAGCAGAGGGCAAAGCGGGACATACCATTGTTGCCCCTCACAAAGGCGTCGCCGTACGACCTCCGCTTGGTGCCGTTGACATACTCCTCCGTCTTCTCGAGAGCGATGTTCATGTAGCCGTCGACAGACTGGAGCTCGCCTGGCGCGGTACGTGGGTTAGCGCCTCATGACCTCTGCTTGCACCGTTTCTCGTTCCTCGTTCCTCGTTCCTCGCAGGACGCACCCTTGTAGACGACGCCCGAGTTGAGCTTGACGGTGACGGCGTTGCCGATGATGTCGCTGAGGAAGCTTGAGGGGTCCTTGCCCTCGCCCTGGGGGGCACTGGGGTTTCCGTTTTCCATGTTGGCGGGGGTTGTTGGTGTATGGCGTGTGAGGTAAGGGATGTAGGGCGGGGTGAGATGAATGAGTGAGGCTCGTGATGAGAGGCAGATGTAGAGACGGGGGATGGCAAGGCTGTGAAAGCAGAAGGCAGAGGTTGGTCTGTGCATGGCAAGGTACCCAGTCCTGCCAGTACCTTTGATGTACCTTTTCCCTCACATGCACCACAGCTTCGTGGTGGGGCGGCTGTGGCTGTGATCGTGTCGACATTGGCGACTTGGGCGCGAACAAAAAGCACCTGGAGGCTTCACCTGCACCTCTTTTTTTCCAAAGGGCCGCCCTCGTCGCCCGGCATGCATCCATCTCGTCGAGATAGTCCCCTTTGCTTCGCATCGTCATACTCGCACCCGGCTGCACCGTCCAACTCGCCCCTGGCGATTCTTCTTCTTCCTTTCTCTCAGCCTACTGACACCCAACACGCAACAACGTCTTGACATTGTCTACCAGGTAGTCAGTCACCCACTACTTCCTTGCCATCATCATCATGGCCGAGTCCACTGCACCGAAAAGGTGGCTGCCTTTTAAGCCCACCGCCCTTCGTCAAAACTCCAACCCGAAGCCGGAGACCAAGGACAAGGTTGAGCATGGTGGCGACAATAACGACGATGACGACGAAGACGACGGGCTCAGCTTGTTCAAGCGCTCCAAAGAGTTCTTCCCCAAAGTCATGGCCGACGAGGCGCGCCGTCGCAAACGCAAGCACGCCCACCGCGACAAGGGCAAGGAGCTCGCGACGCCTGCTGCCGACGCCAACGACGACTCGGACGATCCTGGGCACGGCGCGCGACTCTCCAACGACAGCTACAAACATACGAGTCCCAGCCGGGCCAGCCGGTCGCGGCCTGTGAAGAGGGCAATCGACGACAGCGATGGCGATCTCGAGTACGTTTCCATGCCCTCCGCCGCTTCCTTGTTTCCTCCCCGTTTCCATATCGTCCATACTCACCTGGCCAAAGGGATCACATTGAAACGCCGCCTTCCAAGCGATCACGCACGAGCGACGAGTACATTGATCGCAATATCAAGACGACACGCTCACCGAGCCACGACCAGCCATCCACGCCATCACGGCACGCCACCAGATCCCTCGCACTGCGCACGCCGAAGAAGGAAGGCCCGATGCCCAAGGGCAAAAACGCCGTCGTATCCCTCGACGACAGCGGCGCGAGCGATGCTGACTTGTACGGCGCCACCCCCGTGCGCGACGTGCCAGGCACGCGCTCTTCCAACGGCGCTGCCATTGTCATTGACGACGATGACCCCTTTGCTGAAGGCGAACAAGTGAAAGCATCGGACGACGGCACCAGCAGCAAGAAGGACGAGGTCGAAGACGACGAAGAAGAAGAAGAAGAAGGCGACGACGACGTGGAAGAGTATATCCGCGCCGCCCGTGAGCGCCAGAAGAAGGCCGAGGCAGCCCAGGCCAACCCCGCCGAGGCCGACCAGACACGCATCACCATCCTCGTGACGTCGCCCATCCCCGGCGCCAAGCCGGTCAAGTACCTCTACACCCTCTGGAAGCCCCTCGGCAAGCTGCGCGAGGTCTGGAACAGCACCGAGGGCTACGACGTCGAACCGCCCGTCGACGCCGCCGTCACCTTCATCACCTGGCGCGGCCGCCGCCTGTACGACTCGACGACACTCAACAGCCTCCAGATTCGCGCTGCCGAGAACGGCACGCTGCGGTCCCCTGCCGTCCGCAACCCGCACGACGCCGACGGCTTCTCCGACGGCTGGACGAGGGTGCACATGGAGATGTGGACCGAGGCCCTCTGGGACGAGCACAAGCGCAAGGAGGACCGCAGACGCCTGCGCGACCTCGGCGAGCTGGACGACTACTCGGGCGACGACGACGACGACGACGACGGTGGCGGCGTCGCTGTCGGGGCGGACCCCGAAGCGAAGGAGACGAAGATCAAGATCATCCTCAAGGCGCGCACCGGCGAGCCCGTCAAGACGACGGCGCGACCGGCGAGCACCGTCGCCGAGCTCATAGAGGTGTACCGCAAGATGAGGGACGTGCCGGCGAGCACGGAGATTCAGCTTCTCTTTGACGGAGAGCCGCTGGACGGCGAGACGACGGTAGAAGACGCCGACATTGAGGACATGGACTCATGGGAGGTTCATCTCAGGGAGTGACTGCGTTCTCGGTGGCTTCATGTCGACATGGAGCGGGCTGATTGAATGTGGAGTTCATCGGGTGTTTTGTTGACTAGGGTTAGGATTAGGCCTAGGATTAGGATTAGGATTAGGCTTAGGATCAGGATTAGAGATACCCAGGAGTTCAACGTCAGCCGACAGCTTTTGCTGCCGCCGAATATACACGAATGAGACGACACCATGTCTTTCAATTGTTCGATCATAGCGTTGAAACTACACACCCTCGGGCGCAGTGCCTATCTCGCGAGGTCGAAACTCCGCAAGCCATCGTGCCATTCTCGCTTCAAAGTCCGCCGATGAAGTCTCCGACTTGGCGCAACGCCTCAAAACCATACAAAACTCCTTCGTCATGATGATGGATCTGCACGACAGTGCTCCGAGCCTGACTCCTCGAGATATGACTCATTCCGTCGATTCGTCTCTTTCGCGGCTGCCTTCGGCGAGACAGGCCGCTGAGATGTGACGCACGCACGATCGTCGCGTTGCCCGCTGCCTGAAGGATCAGTCCCCTGCGTTTAGCTGGCTGCCTGGTGGTATAACACCCACATGGCTGTCCCTTGCCAAAATGTCCCAATCCACGGTGTTTCACAGATATGCACAAAATCGTTCCCTTTCTGACAGACGATCTCTTACACTCACTGAGTATTTTGTTTTGGGAACCTGTACACCCAATAACAACCCCACCCCAAACATGAAGGTCCTCCTCACCGGCGCAACGGGCTCCGTCGGCGGCGCCGCCCTCCGGGCCTGCCTCGCCCACCCGGCCATCACGTCCATAATCGCCGTCCAGCGACGAGCCCTGCCAGCCGACCTCGCTTCGAACCCCAAAATCACAACCGTCATCCTCCAAGATTTCTCGTCCTGGCCCGACGAGGTGCTGCAGGCGCACAAGGACGCCGCGGCCATGATCTGGTGAGTCGCACAACAGCACGGCCCCCCTTTCCCTCTCCTTCTTCGTCGAGATTAGCTAGCAGTGCTCACCACCGAGTCGGCCATGCGCAGGGCAATGGGCACGTACGACACCAACAACGTGACGGTGAACCACGACTACCCCGTCGCCTTCCAGGAGGCCTTTGCCGAGGTGCTGAGGGAGGAGAGGCCCGCGGGGCCCAGGTTCCGCTTCGTCCTGCTGAGCGGCAAGTTTGTCCGCCAGGACCAGGAGCAGCATCTGTACTTCCTGGAGGAGGCGCGCAAGATCAAGGTATGCGTCCCCTCTTTTTTTTCTTTTTCTTCTTCTTTTTTTTGGGGGGCCTCCTCGAGAAACTTGTGACGGCAATCAGTCGCTGACGCGGCGTGTTCCCGCTTTCAGGGCAGGACGGAGACCAGGTCGTTGAACGTAGAGCGGAAGTACCCGGAGCAATGGCAGGCGCTGATCCTTCGGCCCGGCGGCATCATCACGCACGGCATGGTGGGAGGCGGTGTGATGGGTGCCTTGTTGAGCGTCAACTGGGTTGTAAAGATCGACGAGCTGGCGGCGTACATGGCCGAGGTTGCTGCGTCTGGCGAAGGCGAGGAGACGGTTGTTGAGAATGCACGCATCGTCGCCCGTGGAAAGGAATTACTCGAGGCATCTGCCGCCTCGGCCAAGCCTCAGGGGACGGACCATGCCGGCACCAGCTGGATGAAGGGATCAATGACCATTCAATGAAAGTACTCTGGAGCCAGCGCGAAAAATCACTCTTCTCTCATTCTATACTGTCTCTCATCAGATACTGAATCATTGAAATGGAAAGAAACAATCCCAAGTAACAGCCATGTAACTAGTTGCACATCATCTCTCTCCCCTCTCACAGCCTTCTTTCGGTACAATATGCAAAGTCTCAGTTGTTGTTCTTTCCATTCCGCGAGCGCCTCCATCGCCTCCTGCATTCCATACTCCTTCCTGTTCGATACCATATTGGCATGACCTCTAGCCATGCCGCTCGCCGCATCCGACGCAGACATCGGATGACTCCTGCTCCGCATTGTCCGGTTTCCAGGCCTGCCAGCCGTGGCTCGACTTTTGCGTCGAGGCAAAATCAAGACTCGTCTCGTCGTCTTCTTCTGCCTTTTCGTCGTCGTCGTCATCACCACGCGCTTGAATGCTGAAGTACCGCGATGCTTTGTACTCCTCGCCTAGACGTTTCGCTACATCATTGGCCTCGGAAAGCGACACGAGCCTGCGGGGGGCGGGATACCGCTCAAGATATTCAGCAAGGAGGTCCCATGTCTCTTCGTTCTTGTCCTTGCTTTGGGTCTTAATGTCGCGGCCGCGCTTCTCATTGACAAAGTTGTCAGCATTGCGCTGGGGAAGATGGCTTGGCCCATTCCAGTCATTAAAGTGCGATGGTAGAGAGCGTGGCTGATCGAAGCGCTTGCTGATGACGCGAGTATGGGCAACCTCAGCGGGGGTGCGGCCCACGGCATTCTCGCGGTAGAGCAGGCTTGGCCTGTAGGTCAAAAGGGCCTCGATAAGCACCATGCTGTTCTTATTGACTGCTGAGTGAAGAGGTGTGTCGCCGGCACCGTTGAGCATGGCGAGCTCAGCTCCCTCAGAGTAACCAAGGAGCAGGTCTAGAACTGCAGTCGCTTCTTCTTTGTTGGCGTACTTCGTCCACCTGGTGTGGTCGTAGTTATCCGGGAACTTGTTAACCCACGAGTGGAGGGGAGTTGTTCCCTCGTCCTGTAGGTTGCTTCTTTGCAGAAGAAGGTGAGCCCTGAGTTTGTCGTCCATGAGCTCCAACATATCCTTAAGGCTATGAGCCTTTGGAAGCCATTGCAGCGCTGCGTGGATAATGTTTTGACCTTGCTTGTTGCGCACAGATTGGTTCGCTCCAGCTTCGATGAGAGTCTTGGCAAAGTCAACGCGGCCAAGGTGAAAGG